ATGTAAAAAACAAAAAAAAAAATATTTTTTAATGTTATTTTCTTTAAAATAATTATAATTTTTTAAAATAAATTACCATAAATTTCAACAATCTATAATGAATAAATTTATGATTACGTGCAAATAACTCATTTCTAATAGAATTCGGTGTTTAACCATTCAATACTTCATCCAGTATTAGAACCGCGAGACAATTTTTCATTTTTAATAAGTAAATAATTAAGGAAAATTTTTTAGAACGGTTCACCGTCAGGTTGGACCCCACGCGTTTTCAATATAGAAACATAACTAAAAATTAAAATAAAATAAATAAAAAAAAAAAATGACGCGCTCTTGATCACTACCAAAGAAGTTCTCTTCTTCTTCTGCTCACTTTCTCGTATTCTTCTTCTAAGTTACTCGGTTTGATGATTATAAATACACTTGCCATTAGAAGAACCAGATCATCAGCAAAACAGAGTACAACATTGCTCGTCGCACAAATCAAAATTAGCATCCATGGCTGTGAGTAGAAGAATTCAGGTCGAATCCAGAAACCGAATTGGGTTTTCTCGATCCACACGGCCAAGGAAGCAAAAAGAATTGAGAATAAACATGAAGCGATTGAAAGTGGAGATGGCGGAGATCAGTATAGATCAGAAACGGATTAGAAAAGACCAAACAGAAATACGAGGGAGGTTGGAACAAATTAAAGAGCAATGCGCCAGGTTGAGAGAGGAAACGGAGGTGATTGCGAAGCAGAAAGCTAGGAGTCAGCTTCTGCTCGCTCTTGTATTCAAAATCCTCAAGGCTCGTGAAGCAGGGGACTTCGCCACTGCAGTCAGTTTCACTCGGGCCCTCAGGTTTGTTTCTTTTTTTAACCCAACCCATTAATTTTTATTACGAGGACGTTTCAAAACATTTAAAAAGTATTTATTTTAAAAATACTATTTATCTTTCGTAAATTTAATATTTTGATTTAAAACCGGATCCCTTTAGTCTTACTAGTTTCCCCTCCGTAATTTTCTATGCTTTTATTTGCAGGGAGGTGATACAGAAGCAAGGAAACAAATAAAGGAATAGCAGTGATTGATAAATAAAGTCTCCGATTTGTGCTAAACAAAAATATAATAATAATTATAATAAGGTTTGGGATTGCCTTTTTTTTTTTTTAGGGACAAACCAACTGGGTGTGAGAGAGAAGGAGGGTTTTGTGAATAAATGGTCAGTTAATTTTCCTCAAGATTACTGTACTTAAGTGTGATTGTATTTTTTGTTTAAGGCCTTGTAATTTGTTGAATGGTGTCAATGTTCAAAATTATAGTAGTGTTGTGATGTTGTTTTAAAGTTTTGTAAAAGTCTATAATTGTTAAACATTAATTGAAATTAATAATTTTATTACTATAACAAATTAATATCTGTAGTAATTCATACACTGTGAACTCACCCTTAATTTGTCCAAGAATTTGTGTTGTTGTAAAGAACTCATAGCTGGCCAAAAATATTTAAAAAAAAAAAAAAAAAAGATGACTCCTAAATTCTGAAGTCCTATTCCAAGACTTAAAATTTAAATGAGGGGACGTCTGCTCGCTCTTGTATTCAAAATCCTCAAGGCTCGTGAAGCAGGGGACTTCGCCATTGCTGTTAGTCTCACTCGGGCTCTCAGGTTGCTTTGTTTGTTTGTTTGTTTTTGTTTTTGTTTTTTTTTTACTTTTCTTTTAACCCAACCCGTTAATTTTTATTTCAAGGACGCTTAAAAAAATTTAAAAATAATTATTTTAAAAATGCTATTTAACCCTTGTAAATTTGAAATCTTGCTTTAAAACCGGATCCCTTTAATCTTACTAGTTTCCCTTCCGTAATTGTCTATGCTTTTATTTGCAGGGAGGTGATTCAGAAGCAAGGAAACAAATAAAGGAATCGCAGTGATTGATGAATAAAGTCTAATATTTGTACCAAACAAAAATATAATAATAGTTATTGTGAATTTTTTTTATTGACGAATGTTTCACCTTCATATTCATTTTTTTTCATGTTATAATTCATCACAGTTAAAGGGTAATTCTTCACTATTAAAAGGTCATTAATGATTTTATTAAAGGACATTCAAATGGTCATTAAGCTACCATTCATTTTTTTTCATTTAGTTATATTCAATGGTTAATGTATCCTTTCTATGTCCTTTAACATATATATAGACTTACAAATTTCTATGATTTGTACATAGAAAAGTATATGGTGAAATAATAATATCTTTTTTGTTTGTCATTTTGCTATTCTACCTCTTATTTTATAATAATAGTAATTGTAATAAGGTTTGGGATTGCCCTTTTTTTTTTAAGGGACAAACCAACTCGGTGTGAGAGAGACTGAGGGTTTTCTCAATAAATGATCAGTTAACCTATAAGGTTTCCTCAAGATTACTGTAGTGATTGTATGTTTTTTTTTTTTTTCTTTTTTAGGGCCTAGCAATTTGTTGAGTGGTGTCATTGTTCAAAATTATAGTAGTGTTGTGACATTGTTTTAAAGTGTTGTAAAACTGTATAATTGTTAAACATTGATTGAAATTAATAATTTTATTGCTATAACAAATTAATATTTGTCGTAATTCGTACTCTGCGAACTCACCCTTACTTTGTCCAAGAATTTGTGTTGTTGTAAAGAACTCCTAGCTGGCCAAAGAAAAAAAAAATACTCCTAAATTATGAGTCCTATTCCAAGATTTAAATTTTGAATATTTATTTAAATCTTCAAACTCAACGAAATAGGGTTATAAGAGGATTTTCATTTTAAATTAATTAGTAAATATATATTTTTTTATTTCATAACTCTAACTCAAAATCTTTTATCAAAAAAAATATTATTAAATTATTTAAGGTATTGATGGTAAACATCTCTATTTATTTGCAATCTTTTTTTTTTTTTATGACCATCAATCTTAATTAACATATAATCAATAACATCAACAACTCAATCTCTACATGTTTTAAGCATTAATTTAAATGATAATAATGTTACAATTACAATGTTACATATGAGTTATATAGTATAGTGATTTGAAATTAACAATTAATAGTTTCATCTAATCTAATAGTTGATAATAATTATTATTAATTTAAACACTCTTATTCATTGAATTAAATGAAACTACTATACCAAATAACCCTATAATATTATAAGTTTATAATTATGATGTGTTATGTGTTATTAAATGAGTATTATATGTTATTAAATAAATATATATATAATATTATGTGCAAACTTTGATTAAAAAAAATTTATTATAGAATAACATATTGTATTTTATAAGTATATCATTTTTAATTAAAATATTTTGCTTTATAACGGAATAGGCTTAAATTGTTGGAAGAGTGATGGATAAATTGGTAAGGGATTGCC